GCGCTCCTCGGGCTCCCGCTTCCAGCACTGCCCCATCACCTCGTGCAGGGACGGGGGGCAGTTCCCGGGGCACTGCATGCGGTACCCCCGCTCCACCTGCTCCAGCACCTCCCGGTTGTTCATCCCTGTGGGACAAGGACCAACCCCAGGCTCAGCAACCGGCACCCCAATGGGATGAGCCAGTGGGGAAACTGAGGCATGGAGCAGCGTTGCCTCGTAGTTTGGATAGGGAGCCCAGCTTAGTGCTGGGGTTTTGGGGAAACTGAGGCATGGGTCAACCCAGCTCACCCCGAGGGTGCCCCCTTGTACCTGGGTAGGGCACTCGGCCTTTGGTCACCAGCTCGGTCAGGAGGATGCCAAAGGACCAGACATCCGATTTGATGGTGAACTTCCCAAAAAGCGCAGCCTCCGGCGCCGTCCACTTGATGGGGAACTTGGCACCTGCGAGGGGAGGCACCAGTGGCTGGGGCACCCCGCTGCACCCGGGGTACCCCACACCTGGGCACCCTGTGCTCGGGACGTCTCTCACCCAGGGTACTCTGCGTTGTGAGGATCTTGCACCGGGACACCATGCACCAGGGGCACCCAAGGCACCCTGCACTGGGGTATCCCCCACATGGGGCACCCAGCACCCAAGGCACCCTGCACCAGGAGAACCCATCATCTGGGGTATCCATCACCCAGAGCACCCATCCCCTGGGGCACCCTGCACCCAGGATACTCATATCCTGGGGTACCCATCACTTGGGACACCCATCACCCAGCACACCCATCGCCTGGGGTACCCATTTTCCAGGACACCCTCCTCCCAGGATACCCATCCCTTCGTGCACCCATCGCTCAGGACACCCATCCCCTAGGGTACCCATCACTTGGGACACCTATCACCCAGGATACCCATTCCCTTGGGTACCCATCCCCTGGAGCACCCATCATCTGGGATATTCATCACCCAGGGCACACATTCTTTGGGGTATCCATCCTCTTGTGCACCCATCGCCCAGGACAACCATCCTGTGGGGCAGCCATCACCCAGGATACTCATATCCTGGGGTACCCGTCACGTGAGACACCCATCTCCTGGGACCCCATCACCAAGGACACCCATCTCTTGGGGTACCCATCACCCAGGACACCCAGCACTGGGTGACTCAGCCGGGGACCCTGCTCCAGACCCAGGGTGGGAGGCCATAGAGAGGGGACAGGGCAGGGGTCCCCGCAGCCAGGTAGCACCCATCTGGCTCACCCTGCCGCGCCGTGTACTCGTTGTCCTCGATGAGGCGTGCGAGGCCGAAGTCAGCGATCTTGCACACCAGGTTGTCGCCCACCAGGATGTTGGCGGCGCGGAGGTCCCGGTGGATGTAGTTCATCCGCTCGATGTAGGCCATGCCTGCTGCGATCTGTGTGGAGGAGGAAGCAGTGAGGACCACCCTGGGGGGCACTCCCCACCCTATGCCAGTCTCCCCAGTACCTGCGCAGCCATGTCCACCAGTTGGGGCAGCTTCAGGTAGCGGCCGTCACCGTCCTTCAGGAAATCCAGCAAACTGCCTGCGGGTGCCAGCCAAAATCAGCTGTGCCCACCCAAGGGTGCCAGGGTCCCCAGCCCTTGGACCACCTCCCTGGAAAAATGGGGTTGGAGGGGTGACCCCCACTCACCCTGGCTCATGAATTCGGTGACGATGTAGATGGGCTCCTCGGACACGACGGCGTAGAGCTGCACCAGCTTGTCGTGCCGCAGCCGCTTCATGATCTGCGCCTCTTCCAGGAAGGCCTCGGGTGACATGGTGCCCGGCTTCAGCGTCTTTACCGCCACCTTGGTGGTGCCATTCCACGTCCCTGGGGCCAGGGACACTTTGTCACTGCCAGCCCAGGGGACGGCCAGCCCTGGTGGGGCCAGGATGGAGGGGTATGGGGATGGAGGGATGGATGGATGCATGGATGGAGGGGTACAGGGATGGAGGGGTGCATGGGTTCATGCTTGCATTGATGGATGGATCGATAGATGGAGGGATGCATGGATGGATGGAGGGATGCATGGATGGATGGAGGAGCAAGGAAATCAGGGCAGGGCAAGGAAGGGGCATTCCCCCCACCCAGATCAAGGAGTCCCCCTCACCCAATGACATGGGTGAGGCGCCCGTGACTTCACCTAACATCAACTGTACTCCCCATCCCTCCATGCGGAAACCTGTGCCAGTGGGTACCACCTGGCACCCCACAATGCTGCCCTCCAGGGCAGGACCTGCAGGCTCCTGGGCCCCCCTCCCTGCCCCCCCCC